AAAAAAAAAAAAAAAAAAAAAAAAAAAAAGGAGAGTTTTCAAGTGAATTCTAAATATAAAGCAAGTTTCGAGCATTTCTTAAAACACAAGGGGAACGTTTAATCCGGGAAAACATAGGTGAGTGGTATATTAACCCTTTCATTAAAATGGAAAAGGAGGCTTCATGATAAAAGTGGGCAAACATCAGAGTTCAACTTCATGGTCTAGGACTTCATTTGTAACATAATGGAATACCCGACTCAGATACAAATTTATTAGTGTTCCTTGCAGCATCCATTAAATCCAAATTCATAAAACCCACAACGTTCTAATCTGCCTGACGATTTCAAAACCCAAAAGTCATTTCCTCCTAAGCAAAAGATTTGGTTAATCCTTACCAGGTGAAAGATTATAATTAGACCCAAAATTTCCATATAAAAGAAAAGGGAAACCAAAAAGAAGGCTAAGTAGAAATCTACAATATTGCTTAGTCTGTTTCACATTTGAAGTGTGTGATGGGACCTTTCTTTGGTTACAAGTTCATAAGTAGACAGCATGAACCTAAAACTTCAAAAGGACAAAAGGAGCTCCATCAATTTGACTTCAGAAAAGTATCAGTGTTCATAAGGTTCCATCAAGCAAAGGCATAATCAAAATAGAATCTCCATAGAGATATGGATGAGGGAAGTAAAAAACTTACAATTTTATGATTCTGCCATCAATCCAACAAATATAATAAAAATAAGAAGGAATTAACAATGGAAACATGAAATAAAAAATGTTCCCTCCCCACCAAAATAATGCATCTTATCAACATTGTAGCAAAACGTAATAATTTATCATCTTAATTAATAATAGACCACATAACTATTCTGCGTCACAATCTTACATTTACGCAAACAAGGTTAATGGTGCCAAATTAGTGGTCAAACAAGGCATGCAACAAAAGCTCAAGTATGAGACAAACTGTGCTTCAAAATATAATTGCAGTGTAACAAACATATATCTCTTTTAGTAGTTCCATTTACTTTCAGAACTCCTATAACAGCAATTATAACAGCAATATCACGTTGTTTGTTAATACCTGTATGGTATATGCTTGTGAGTCTGTAAATCTCTGTATTTCTTTGCAAGACCATAGTCGATTATGTACACCTGTTGCAAAAACAAACAAAAGGCCGATTGGTTGCAGTTACAGAATTAGAGAACGTTTAGGATACAAACAACTAAACATTATCCACATACCATATATATCATCCTTAATTTCCAAAATAGATTTCCAAGCATAAATGAAACAGGAACAGTGTTATCAAATGGCGGCCATGGCGGTATGGCGTGGCGGATTTTTAACAATCCGCTATGCAAAATTTGTGAATGATGGCGTTCATGGCGGCGCCATAGACCACCACAGCGGCCGCCAATGGCGGAATTTTGGCAAAACGCCATGTACCGCCATCCGCCATTAATAACACTGAACAGGAATCAATAGAATTTGAAAATAGAAATTAACAGGCACAAATAAGAGCAATCTTTCGCCTTGGGTAAAAGAAGCGTTTGTGTAACTTAGATGCTCTTAGATACTGAGAAATTCAGGTATCATTGCTTTTGTTTGTATTTTCATTAAGCGCTTGAATCTTTTGATTTCGGTCTCTACACCATGACAATAAATTTGCCAATATTTTGACAAATGAACCATTTAGTACTGGCACAGTAAAAAATACTGATGACACTTTTATTTTTGGTGCAAGCATACCATATTCAAACTCGACATACTACATAGAAAATAAAGAAAGTCCAATTAAGCTCTAAAAAAAAGATAACCATCACCAATGGAGCTTCATATATATGATCCCCAAAAATGACTTTTGAAGGTATTATTGTGTATATCTCTCTCTTGATTTAGTAAGGTAAAAATCGTCATTTGGAGATATTTGTACGGAGTAGGTTTCTGCGCCCATTCGATGCATTCTGGTGCCCGATCTATACATCTTCATTCGAGCTGGAGACGAAGTCAAAAAAAATAGAGGATTCCCATTCTAAATTACATCTACGCTCATCTCGAAGCACCCCTCTTAGAGCCCGAACAAATAGTTGGCAATAGCAATAAAGTGCCAATATTATACCACTTGTCTTTTCAAGAATTAGACCGGATTATTAGCTTTTTATGAATGAGATGCCTCACTTAAACCTGGCTTTTCGATTGGTGAACTATCGTATAAGAGATGCCTATAGGCTGGCTCAATATTCAATTCAATCTATTCTGTTTCAAAGCTTGACTTGACTCTCTTTCTCCTCTTCTCTTCGTGTGCTACGTCCATTCCAGTTCTTTGTTCACAACACAACCAAGGATTTGCCCTACCCGCGCATTCCTCGATCGCTGTTCTTGACGCGCAATACGCACTTTTTGCACTAGAGATCAAGGTTAATTACATCAAGCCACAATATCCCACCAGGTCTTTCGGGTAGGGGGGAGAAGAGTAAGACTTACAAACATCCGGAGGTCAAAATCGCATGGTTCAAAACTTCTGATTCCCTGTGAAAATAGAACATCTCTAAGCGAAAAAGGGATTTGTCTTGTGACAGAACTGATTGCCTTTCTAGCTGCGATCAAAGGGAGTTATTCATGTTCAATCAAGTTTCAATAATACCACTAATGGAGCAAAAACCGATATTCATGGTAAAACCCTTGTTCCACCGGCCAAAATGATCGCGTAGTACTCCACCGGCGCTAGCCATCCCCGACGACGGGTTAAAGGAGCCATCCGAATTCAATTTAATCCACCCCCCAGGAGGAGCCATCCATCTCACGTACACCATCTTCCGTCCGACCCCGAACCGCTCCGTGGGTTACATCGAGCCTCCGGTAAAAAACAGATGCTAGTGAAATCTCTATCTGTATCTGGTACTAGTAACCGAGTCACGACTTCCTCTATGCTGTACTTGCAATAAACACAGAAATTACCCCTCTTCACGTCATATTGTCATTAAAACATTTTAAATTACTCTTTGGCCTAATTTATTTTTTTCCCACTGCCCCTAACCTCCTGCTGTCCTGCTGCTCATCGGGTTAATTCTAATATTCTACTGTGCTAGTGTCATCCACTGCCATTGTTGCCCCTACATCTGCCAACAAATCTAAGTTTGAGTTTTCTCTCTATTGTCATCTTCATATCAAGAAGCCATTTCAAAACTACGGTCAAATTAAATTGTTCCAACAATCTCCTGTGGTCTCATTCATTTCAATTATTTTGGGGACAGTAAATTGGCTCGTATTTCATCGGACACTCCTGGCCATAAAGATGCCAAGTATCCGTCAAGGAGTCATGACGTTACGGGTTAGCAACTTAGCATTGCTTCTAAATAGTATTGAAGAATATGTGACAAAGAATATTGTGTTCTTGGATTCAGCCAAATCCATGTGTGGACCTTACAAATATGTATTCAATGATAAGAATCCCTCTCATGTTGTCAAGTTATACGAGAAACTTTGACAAGTCTCTCAGTACCTATTTCTCTACTGTAAAAGGGACCGTCGATGAAAGAGTCAATGAGAGGAAGTTATAATCACTAAGTAATACTGGACCTGCTTCAACCTATTCAAGATAGTCTTCAGCCTAGGGACAACATCCCAACATTGTCAAATACTATATTGTGTGTGGCACTAGGAACTATCATTGATGTGGTGTTCATGTGGTTTTTACACCATATTTATAGAAACATATTTATAAAGTTTCTAGAGCTTAATTGTTGCATTATTGTTGCATTATTGTGCTCAGTGTTATCAAATGGCGGCCATGGCGGCGCCATGGCGGTATGGCATGGCGGATTTTTAACAATCCGCCATGCAAAATTTGTGAATGATGGCGGTCATGGCGGCGCCATAGACCGCCACGGCAGCCGCCATGGCGGCCGCAATGGCGGAATTTTGGCAAAACGCCATGTATCGCCATCCGCCATTAATAACACTGATTGTGCTTTAATTATATATATTGTTGGAATGGTATTACAAGTTTTTCGTAGATATTTTCACATTATTGGTGAACTCTTGGCTATTGGAGGCCACGATGAGTAGCTAACACCCCACTGATGCACGAATGAAACGAGCAAGTGAATGTGCACAGGATTGTGACATGACCGGGCAATGGGTGTGACACGGGCCTTCACGTTAATGGACGAAAATTCATACCTTCAATCCTGACATGGGCTGTGACATGGGCAATGTCGTGCGTGCGGTTGGTTTTCTTATCTTATCTATTTTGAAGAGGAGAAAGCAGGGACAGTATAAAAGGCATAGTTATGATATTTTGAGAGGGAGGAACGCAATAGACAAAAGAAGAAACCCTAGAATACACAAGAGAGGCAATTGGGAATAAGATCCAACTACGAAGGATAGACAAGTGAATAAGCCTTAGGACACACAAGAGAGGCAATTGGATATAAAATGATACAACTATCCTTCAAGGAGATCGAGAAATATTTTTCCGAACTTTTATTTATCATGTCAATTTTGAACTTAGTTTAAAGACATAGAAATAGATTAATATGTTAGGATTTTGAATGATTTTCTATAATTCATCATTTTTCTTTGAACCATATTCGAATATTTTGTTCTTAATTCATGATTAGCACTTGAATAATAATTTTATATGTTTGACAATATTCTTCATAATTCAAGATATGAGTCAGTATTACGTCTTTAATTTTTGACACAATTTATTGCTTGAATCGAGAGATTAGTAGGTGATTGTCAAGATATTGGATTTTTTCTTCTATTTGGAGTAGAATTGCATGTACTTGGTGTTGTCGCAAATATATCTGATTTAATGTACAGTTCTATTGTTCTCGAGTGGAATAAACTAAATTTGTGACCATCAACCAAGAAAATGTTTAGTTGGATATTTCTGAAGAAACCTAACTGAAATCATAACAGTGTTATTAATGGCGGATGGCGGTACAAGGCATTTTGCCAAAATTCCGCCATTGTAGCCGCCGTGGCGGTCTATGGCGCCGCCATGACCTCATTCACAAATTTAGCATGGCGGATTGTCAAAAAAACCGCCACGCCATACCGCCATGGTGCCGCCATGGCCACCATTTGATAACACTGAATCATAATCTTGGAATCTGTCATTCCCATATATATATCTTATGTGAGTTTACTTCATTCTTTGTTCTTGATTTGTTGCAATAATTCTGAAGAAACCTAACCGAAATCATAATCTTGGAATTTGTCACTCCTATATATCTATCTTACGTGATTTTAGTTAATTCTTTGTTCTTGATTTGTTTTTATTTTATTTCATTTTATTTTCATAGTTTAGTTAATCCATCTTATCTAAAAAAAGTTGACACTATCATAATCTAGTAGTTTTTTTAATATTTAGTTTCTTAGAGTACGACCTTGCTTGCCACATATTACAACAAAATTTGTATACCTGCGGCCGAGCTTTAAAAATATACGCAAACATGTAGTCATCCCAACCACTCACCACTTACTACTTGTTCACCACATATGCACAATTTTACATTTTCTTAACATCTTGCTCCGTTCAACAACCTAATATATTATCCTATATATATCCTTACCAATCCCACCATTTATACCTCCTTGTTTTAGGATTTGATTATTATATTCATTATTTATTTCTAACCCTCGTGTTGATAACCATATACTCGGCCTACCAATGCATCTTTTCAAGATATAATGAAACAGAAAAATAAAATTACTGTTTCAACCCATTTGCTAAACAAAGTAGCACAATCTTTTAGTAGCAATAGTACTTTTCACTACATGTCCAACACCCTAATACTACTAATAATACTATTACTATTGTTCCCTTGCATGTTTACACAGGCAATCTCGAGCACGAGCAACTGATTCATGTACTTTACTTTTTTCCCATCTTCTAGCAACTATCTGGGTTATTTGTCAACCTAATAGTGATCTATCTATAGCTCTCTCAGAAAAGTATACAAAGATAATCATTTCGGCACAAACCATCTTGTGTCTCACAATATCTAATTTGATTATCTCTCGCGTGCTTGCCACACTTTTGCATGTTTTTAACGAAAAGGAAATTAATAATAGAAAAGGCATAAACTTGATTCCCAAAATGTCTATATATTTGAACAACTTTCTATTCACCATTGTTGTGCATTTGTAACAACACATACAACAAGAAGCCATTAAAATCCCACTAAGTGGGGTCAACTATGGATCCCATGTCGCCATTGTGTTCGATCTAAACAAATATCCTCGTTCAAATTAAATATTTTAAATCATTTTTATTGTTACATTCCAAATTTTCTTAGGTCTATCCCTCCCCGTTATAATTTGCATTTTTAATTTTAATTCTAATGTTTTTACCTTCTCATCGGGCCGTTGAAGTCACCTACTCACATGCTCAAACCATCTTAATCGTGATTCTATCATTTTTTCCTCTATGGACGTTATCTCAACTTTATTTCTAATACTTTCATTTCTAATTTTATCTAACCTAGTATGTCCATACATTCATCTCAACATTCTAATCTCTGTCACTCACATTTTTTATCATTTTCATATTTAGTAGCCCGACACACAGATCCATAAAGCATCGAATGGCCGTTCAATAGAACTTTCAATTCAAACTCACTTATACTTTAAGATCACAAAATATCGACAAGGCTCTCCTCCATTTGTTTCATCCTGATTGAATTCTATGTATTACATCCTTATCTAAGTTGTCATTATCTTCTATAATGTATCCTAAGTATTTAAAACTTTAAGATGTGTTTGATTCTCGTTCCCTAATCTTAACCTTTACCCCATTATTATTCCTTTGATTACTAAAATTACATTCCATTTATTTCAATTTGGGCCTACTTATTTTGAAACCCTTAGGTTCAGGCGCCTCTCCATGTGTCTAGCTTAGCATTTACCCTCTTTCTTGTCTTATCTACTAACAAACAACATGCAAATGGTGACATCCCATTGCAAATGTTTTGTAAGTTCATGAATTCCTAATGCAAAGAGATGCGGACTCAACGTCGAACCTTGATGCAAACCAATAGTGATACGGAATTCACCTGATATCACTACCTGTGTCCTACACAAGTTTTCACATTATTATACATATCTTTTGTGATTTCTATGTAAGCAACTCGCACCTCTTCTTTTTTAACACACTCCACATTATACCTCCATTAACACTATCATATGCTTTTCAAGGTCAATAAAGACCATATGCAAATTTTGTTTCTTCGCTTCACAAAGTCTCTTTGTTACATAGCTTCCATTGTTGAATTTCCCGTCATAAAGCCAAATTGGTTTCCTATTATGTTTATTCCATGTCTTAGTCTAGTTTCTATTACTCTCTCCAATAATTTCATCATGCGACCAATTAGTTTTATGCACCTGTAGTTTACACAATTTTGTATATTTCTTCTATCTTTTAACAAATGTATCAATGTATTTTTCCTCCATTGGTTGGTCATTTCTTACTCTTCATAATTATGATAAACAAGTTCGTAAAGGTGTGATTGGATATGGATTGAACTATTTTTTAACCATAGTTAATTTTATTTGAAAAGATAGTATTGTTAGTTGTTAGTGGATATTTAAGTTTAAATTTAAGTATTATATAAAATAATAATTAAAGTTGGTATAAAATTAGGAGATAAATAATTAAAAGTGATGATTAGTTAAAATTATGTGAGTTGATGAATAGTGAATTAAAGTTGACGTGATGTTTAAGAATGATTGGTTGATATTATTTAATTATATTAACAATATTGAAGATAGTGAGGTTTGGCTAAAGTTAGTTAAATTTGAGTTTTGATTGATTTTTTTTTTTTAGTTGATAAACTATCACCCCCTAAGTCATTCAATTCCAAACTTACCAGAGATGAGCATCTATTGGAATATCATTGGGACCTACAGCTCAGTCATGTTTCATTTTTTGTATTGCTTTCTCTACTTCTTTGATTTGGATTTTTCTATAGTATGTGTAATTTTTATATTTCTCGTTCCTTTAATCCCCCTAGCGATATTTACCTATTATCTACTTTATTAAATAGTTTATGAAAATAATCTTTCCACCGATCCTTTTTTCTTTATCATCAACTAATACCTTTTCATTTTTATCTTTTATACATTTAATTTCCGTTAAGTCATTTGTCTTCTTCTCCCTTTGCTTTGCAATTTTATAGATGTCCTTTTCTCCTTCCTTAGTATCTAATCTCTTACAGAAGTTTTCGAAAGCCTTAGAAGTCAAAGTCTAGATGTAAACCACATAATTGCAGTTTTATCATTTTTTTTCTGACAATACCAAGTTCCAACTTCAGTACTATCGAATGAATAGTGTTATCAAATGACGGCCATGGCAGCGTCACGACGGTATGGCGTGGCAGATTTTTGACAATCCGCCATGCAATTTGCGAAGGATGGTGATCATGGCGGAAAACCGCTATTGTACCCGCCATTAATGAAAGAAAAAATCTTCACATTGCTTTAAAAATCAGTACAGGGATTAATAGTGAGAAAAATAATATCAAAGTGCAAAAAAACAAATAACCATATGTATACAGTATGGACAAAAGAGAGAAACAATGCTCGAGTCACTACCTGATTAGCTTTGCGTCCCAAACCCATTAAGAAGTTATCGGGTTTTATATCTCGGTGCAGAAATCCTCTAGAGTGCATGTATTCAACTCGATTTATCTACATAAAAAAATAAAAATGAGTAAAACAAACAACCATACAGATAATCTTTTAAAACATTGGTGGCTTACTTACTAATTGATCTGCAAGCATTAGGACTGTTTTCAATGTGAACTTCCTATTGCAATAGTTGAACAAATCTTCTAAGCTTGGTCCAAGAAGATCAATAGCCATGGCATTGTACTCGCCTTCAACTCCAAACCATTTAAGATGGGGAATCCCAGCTTCATGAGTGAAAAAAAAAAAAAAAAAAAAAAA